GATTCTATGGTCAAAGGGATGGTATTCTTCCTCGGTTTACGAGCCATCCTCGTCTTCGATTTTGGATCTTCGGAAGCGGAGGCCCTTTTTCGCTTATTATCCTTCATCGATTTTGGGACAGAGGCTGAAGCCTCTTCCTCGACTGACGGGGGCCTCAAAACCGCATCTTTGCCCATGCCTACATACAAGAAAATTGATTTAAATATATGGAGAGCATCGAGTTCGAATTACCAAAGATACGAGAAAGAGACTTACCGTGATTTTTGGCCTCCCATCGTCCCTTTGACAAATCACGCCATGAGCTCTTGGCATATGTAGAGGTCGAAGCTAGACCCCGTACCCAGTTCTTGAGGTCAGGAACTGCACCGAGTATCCAAGAAACAGCTGCATCACAAAAGGGGGATATCAGTGAGGAAGAAATGAAGGGGGAAAATAGTAGGAGATAACAGCAGGATTACACTTACGCTTCATGTTCCACTCCTCGGGAAATGACATCTTTTCAGACGGAATCAGGTCCGAAGTCTTCACTCGAACGAACCTGCCCATCCAACCTCGATCCTTGTCCTCGTCTATGCACGAGAATAGAATCTTGGTAGTCAGGCACTGAAGTTTTATTAACCCGCCTCGAAAGAGGCGAGGGCAGTACAATCGAATGAGATGGTCGAGGGTGAAAGGCATCCCCTCGATTTTGTTCACGAAGAAACGGATCAAAATAACGATCCGCCAAGAAGAAGGATGGATCTGGCCTAGGGTTATTTCGTATTGACGGCAGAAATCAATAATAACAGGGTTGAGAGGACCTAACGTAAAAGGGTAAGTATACACGCTTAAAAACCCTTTCACGTGAGTGGTGATATTTTCTTCAAGAGACGGGATTACCACTTCTTTTCTCTCCCAATTGCAATCTTTCTTTAGCTGTTCGAGGTGCCCCTCGGTTATCAAACACATATACCTCGATACTGGCTCACATCGGCCGGGAACCGATGAGCCTTTGTCGACCTTAAAATTAGAGGTAAGAACACACGCCCCAGTAACGCACTCCTCAGGTTGTGGCTCCACCGATATTTTGTCGATGACGGGCTGTGAAGAAGAAGCTTTTTCTTTCTAAGGAATGGTTTTTGATGTTTTCGCCATTTTGGATTTAAAGATCGAAAATAGAAGGAGGTAACAAAGATTTGGTATTTTTGAAGAGAGATTTTGCAGTGAAAAATCATAGATTTACAGATAAACTCAGAAAATGCAAGAAAGAACTTTATAAAATTTGGAGATTGGAGATGCAAAAGTGATAAATGGTAAAGAAGAGGCTATTTATAGATTAAGCAACATCGGTTCAGTATGAACAGTGGCCGACCATCGTCTGACGCACATTAAATGCCTTGGAAAACTAAACCGACGGGACAACTATCACGTGCGCCATGATCGAGCCCGATGTAAACGTCAGCTTATATATGATCGACCTGTTGGGAAATCATATCGTTTATCGCCATATCCTTCCCGAGAAACGATGGGACTATCTGTATACGGTCGAAACTGATTTCGGCCCTCGTACGTCTGATCGAGATGGGAACATAATGGACCGAAGAAAATCTTCATAATATCGAGGTGAGATATGAAGAAGGTACGAACAAACTTCGAGTTTTCTAGTCGGATTAAATACCGAGCTTGACGCCATTATCGAGCTCGAGTCCAAATCGAACTATACTAAGAAGCAGCGGAATTGAGCTTAAGAACCAGAGGCCAACCAATACCGAACCCAGGTCAATACCGGACCCCGAGTCGGCATCGAGCTCAAACTTGCATCGAGCTCTAAAACCAATACCGGCCAATACCGAGTCCGATCAAGATCGAGCTCATGGACAAGAGCCGTTACAGTCGCACTAAGGGAGAGAATCTCGGCGGAAATTAGGAAAAAACTAATTTATCATGGGTTCCCCATTATGTATTTTTTATTATATCTAAAGTAGGATCCCCGCTATAAAAGGGATGGCTATTTCTGTAAAGAACAAGTTTTGCATACATTGTAACTCAGATATCATACACTCTCATATTGAAGAATTATCCTTTTTTAGCTTAATAGATTGATTCATCTTGCTTAATCCATAAATCATCCTTTTTCAACTTTGTTTATTTTTCATTCTTTACAGTCAATATTCGATATTTCTAGTTACTCTTACGATTTGTGTCAAGTTATACCACATACCCTTAGAACTACGTACAAATTCAACTCTATCCATTTTTCGGGTAAACACCTTTGTGCCCCCTCAAGTTAGGGGAGGTGTCAACGACTCCTAACTTGATTAGATTGGGTTGAAATGATGCAATAGGTAGTGGCTTAACGAGTATATCACCAAGTTGATTAGCAAAATGAACATAAAGAATTAATGTTGATGATATGTTGCTGAACTTTATCAAGAAAAAATGAAAGTCAATTGAAATATGCTTCATCCGGCTATGGAATAACATATTTTGGCAGGGATATGTGGTGCTGACATTGTTGCAGTAAACCTTTGGAGTAATAGAAAGAGGAACACAAATTTCAGACTACAAATTTATTAACTACTTCAACAACGGCATAAGAAGAGGTTGACGATTAATTAGTGAGGTCATCTGCCCTATCAATGTTAGGATAGATGTGGAGTGCATGATCAGATTGCTTCTGGCAGAAGAGGCCATGCGTTATTGATTGTTTCAGATAGCATAGAACGTGCTTAATAATAATCCAATGAATTGAAATTGGACGAAGTGTGAATTGAGAAAGCTTATTCAGAACATAGATTATGTTAGGGCGTGTGAAAGCCAAATACTGCAATTTTCCAATAGTAGAGCGAATTATTGCTTTGCATCAGTGAGCAGAGCCATCAACCAAGTTAAGTTGCATGGAGGTAGATAGCACGAAGTGGACACCTTTGCTTTCTTCCACTAAAATTTCTTTGAGCACATCTGAGATGTATTTAGACTGAGAAAAGATCAAACCATATGCATTTGGAAGGACTTCAACACCTATGAAATAATGCAGTAGCCCAAGATCCTTGAAAGAAAAGTGTTTAGATAAGGCATTCTTGACATTGTTGATGGCTGTCACATTATTTCCTGTCACTACAATATCATTAACATAAACAAGAAGATATAGTTGTATACCCATTGGGTAAAAGATAAACAAGGAAGTATTTGAGTGAGATTTTCTTAAAACCAAGGGAGACAAAAAAGTCCTTGAGTTCATTTTACCATGATGTGGGGCTTGTTTGAACCCATAAAAATGGCCTTTTGAAGGCGACATTTATGATTTGGATAGTCTAAATATTCAAAACCCTTTGGTTGTTTCATATAAACATCTTCTTCAAGATGACCTTGAAGGAAATTCATTGTTAACATCTAGGTAATGAAGGGGCCAACAAAAGCAAGTGGCAAGAGAGAGCACAACGTATGTTTGGTTATTCACACATTAATTAGATATAATTCCTTTATTTTTTAATTATATTTGAAACTTACAAGTAATACTTTGTTTGTTTTTAATTGTGATATACTAGTTAGTTTTGTTATACACTCTTCTACCGACCATGTTAAATTTTTAACATTTTTGAAATAAAAATTAATAGTATTAAAATTATGTAAGCATTATAAAATGTAAAATAATAGTCACATGAGAGGTCTCCCCTTTCGAATCATATTAAAATCTCATCTTTTAGATTCAGTGTATAATTTAATTTATGATAAATAATAAGTTATTGACATAATAATGGACCATATCATTATAACATATTATTGTATAGATTAATATAATAATTTGCTATAGAATGTAAGTGGTAACAATTTATGGTTGTTTAAATTCTACTATATAATTGATGATTGACTCATTAATAGATTTAATTCTATTATTTTTATTTATAACTGGAACTTATAAATAACATTTATTTTAATAAGAAATATAATATAATTAGTTTTCCAATGTACTTAGATATTAACCATGTTAAATTCGTAATTCTAAATGTATCTAGATATATGAAAATTATATAAAAATTCATATGAATAATAATGTTAGTGATAGATAATTAGATATTTTGTTCTATCTATGTAATTGTTAAGCTAATTATTGTGACAAAAAATAATAATTAGCTGCGAAATTTTATTTCAAAAATAAATTCGTCTATTAAACCAAGCGTTGCCACACTAATTTAGTACTTGAAGCAAACATATTTGTTTAGCTATAATATTTTATTTTAAATAACTTGTTGTGGCTAAAAGGTACTATTGCTACGCTAAGTTTTAACTCGTAGTTAAAAATAATATTAGCTACGAAATTTTGTTATAGCAATAACTTCGTGGCTATATCATTTAAATATTGCCACAAATTTTTTATAACTTGAAGTTAAAATACGTATTTAGCTACTACTTTTTGCTTCAAATAATTTATTATGGCTAAAAGATTATTGTTGCTACAGTAATTTTTATCACGTGGCAAAAAATTATGATTATCTACGAAATTTTATTTTAGCAATAACCTTGTAGCTATTTAGATAATTATTGCTACGATTGTTAGCAATTATAAAAAAAAAATGAGGAATTACCTTTGCCAATTAAATTTTTGTGGCTAAGAAATTTTATAAATTTGTAAATAGCCATGGAATTTGAATTTTTGTGGCTATTGTTAGGTACTAACCACGATTTTTAAATCAATAGCTAAGATTTTGTAGCTATATATGCATAATGTTATATCTTATGTCAATTTTTTTTTTTTTAATTCTATGGGTGTATTCGTCTAGCTAGCATATGAAGCAAACATGGAATTTCTCATTGCCCTACACAATGGACTTCACCATGTGCTCTGAAAAGGAAGTACCAGAAAGCAACTTGAAACAACAACCTCTATGACCAAAAAGGAATCTTTTTCTTCCCATAAGAGAGCTCTAAATTAGTTGATACGAACAATATTTTTGATATTCTCCTATATATAAAGGATTTGGGAGAAACATCTTGCAGCTCTTAATCTGAAAGAATTCACTTAAAATTCAAGCGAAAGAGTAATATTCACATTAATTAATGGAAGCCAAAGTAGGAGCATCTGAAGACCGTTTTGAACCATCGTACGAGTGGCTACGTGAACAAAGACATGACGTTCTCTTAGTTCATCTCCCAGCTGGTAAGGAATACCCCACCAATCCTTTTTAATTGTCACGTTTGTCTCTCACACCCCTTAAGAATATATTAATTAATAAGATAATTTGATTAAATTATTCTTTGATATTACTCTTTCTTTCACCACATTAATCTCTCTCTACATTTATTAGAATAAGAACCCAAAGTGAAAAAAATAATTAATTATATCTTAATTTACTAAATAACAAGCATTATGGATCAATTGTTTTTTCTTAACCATGACAAACTGAAAAGGACCGAAGGAGTAATATAATGTTCACTTTCTTCGTTACGAGAAAAACATTATATAGAAAATAATACTTCCTCCGGTCCACAATAAGTGATTTTTTGGTCTTTTTTTGTGGTCCAAAATAAGTGATTTTTTTTAGATTTCAAGAATGAATTAATTATTTTTTTCCTACATTGCCCTTGGAGTAAATAATGTTGGAGTATGTGTTAGGGGTGTTTATGTGAAGAGATGGTAAAGGTTAATATGGTCAATTTTATTGTAAATTAATGTTAAATGTGAATTCTTAATCTGCGTAAAAACATTCAAAAAATCACTTATTGTGGATCGAAGGAAGAAAGAAATACTACGTACAGCAGCAGAAACATTTATCAACATTCAATATTCTCAATGTAAAATGGCGTACATAAGTCACTCGTTAAATTACACATTTCTCTTATTAATGTCTTTAGAATTACTCCATCCATCTTAATTTATGTGGCATCATTCGAATTTTGACAGTTAAAATTTTTAATTTTGACCTAGAATTTAGACATAAAATCTTTATTATTTTTAAAATAATATTTACATATTTAAAAACTACATAAAAAGTATTATACGCCACAATAATTAACAATTTAAAATATTTAAAAGACATGAAAAAATTACGATCAAAGAATAATTTTTTTGACTGTCGAAATCTCAACGATGCCATATAAATAGGGATAATCTGTCCAACTCATTGTTTGGTTCACTTCTCGTTTCCTTTCAGCATACAAAAAATGATTTATCTATATATTTTGTTTCCTTTTATCTTTTAGTACAAAATGTAAAATCTGAAATTTCTGTGTCACTTTAATCCGCCTAAAAAGTTGAATAACGATAAACTGGGACTTTTATGCTATTTGTTTATTCTTTTCTTTGCATGGAAGAATTCAAAGATAAAGAAGGGTTGAAGGTACAAATCAGCAGTTTTGGAGGCTTGAAGGTTTCTGGAGATCGACGAGTGAATAAAAAAAGATTGAGATTTTTCAGGGAATTTCCAGTATGGAAGGACTATGAAACTGATGAAATCCAGGCAGAGTTTGAGAAAGGTGTTCTTAAGATTACATTGCCAAAGAAAATTATTAAACCACCCCTAGCTGATGAAGAAAAAGGATCAAAGAATTCAAGATTGAACAAGTTCACAAAGGTGGTTTTGGGTGTTGTAGCTGCGGTCGTTGTGGCTGCTGGCCTCACTGGTTTTGCTTACTATACTTTTACGTTCACAGTAATTGAAGATTGAGTTAAAGCAATTCTGTAACTTCACCCAAGTATATATAGTATGTTCTTTATAACAACACTTTGATATAATAACCAAAAAAATCTGAAACAAACGAAAATGTTATACAGAAGTTTGAATCCATGTTCCAGGTCCACTAAACCTATCAATGTCAGAATAACTTGCAGGAAGGGCAAACAATACCACAGGGTGTAGAAAGAATCGGCAGTTTGTAAAGGCAAGGATTACAAGCATGTAAGCCAGTATCACTTGATTTTCTTCACATCGGAGACTTCTAAAAATCCTTTTTTATACCGATGTGGATTACCAAGGGACATCCCTCGATAATAGGCTTAACCGACAGGAGATCATTGGTACATGGTTTATAGATAAATCGCTCATCGATAAAAGCAACAGAAAGACTCTCTCGGTAATTACCGATGGACCCATCCTTTAGATATCTGAAAACAATCCGTTCAAAAAATTTTATATACCGACGGATCTCTGTGTATATTATTAAATAATATAATACTAATAATATTTATACCGGGAGATCTCCATAGGTCAAGTAAATGTATTAAAAAATAATCTTTTAATATTACCGATGGACACTCTCTAAAAGTTTAAATATTACATTGAATTTTCCGTTGAGTTTAAATAACACTATGAAGTTACCGACGGATTGTAACGGTAAAATGCAAATCTGGTTGACAATAGATTGCTCTTTCCGAGGAAATTTGTAGGTAAGTCCCTCGGCGTTTCTGATATATTTTTGACCGGCAATATCTATTTTTAGCGACTAAATTTTATGGGTGGTCATTCAACTTTGTGTTTATTACCCAAAAGTCATTTTTCTTTTATTTGTTACATAAAAGTCATTCAATTTTGTATTCATTACTTAAAAGTAATCTTTCTTTTTTTTGTTATACAAAAATTATTTTACTTTGCTCTAGTTATCACAAAAGTCACATTGACCAGATTTTATAATATTTTTACTTGAAAAGTCTATTATGTTATTGACAATATATAAATCCTCTCATTTATGTAATACATTCTATATTATATACTATATAATATATTTTTACTCAGGTATTTTATCTATAATTAAAATAACTTAATATTATTTATTTATTATTTTTATAATATATTTGTATATTTTATTTTTCTTTAACATTAATTTTTAAAATATATTGGCAGCATTATTAAATTTGTCAGTAACATTGTTGTGACTCGGGTCGACGTTCTTAACCATGCCTAATTAAATATTTTTGATAAAAATTATAAAATCATAGCTCACACATTTATCAGCTAAGCCATATTCATTAATCCAATCAACAAAATACCCATATTTAGCACACTGACACAACATATTAACGCCTTGCTTTGCTCTTTCTCGCCTAACTAAGAAAGTAACTCCCTGCCTTCGGGCCATTCTTCGGAGTAAGGGAAAGGAATACCAAAACCTAGGTCTCTTTGAATCCGATGTCGGAATAAGAGATGAAAGTTTGTTAGCAGTCTAGCGATCCTACGCTCATTCCAGTCAGTGCAGTCAGTCCAAGCATAGTAAGAATAAGTAAGGAAAGTCACTAGGGAAGTAGGCTTAGCCCTTTCGGTTCTAGTGCTTGAGTACTCCTATCCCTAACTCTTTTCCCGTACAAAAGGAAGAAGGCACATGGGTATACAATTGTAAGGTCGCAGTCCCACGATCCAATCCAATTCTCAATTGGGAGTGGCTAATGTGAGTCAGTCTGTCTTGACCCCTCTCCACTTAGTCTTTTACTTCTTTTTGCACAGCAGTGCGGATCTCCTTTCAAAGAGACTTTTCAAATAGAAGAAAGAATAGTTCTTCCTCCCGGTTCTCAATGGAATTCTCTGTGAGAGAAACTGCTTTGCTTCTCATTTGTATATTCTCGGTCAATAGATCCATATATAATCTTCCTAGGGTGCTATCAAGACTCTTTGTGGAACTCCGAGAAGGGTAGCCTTAAGTTCTTCCCTTTTTGTCATTGACTGACTCACTTAGCCATCACTCCGCCTGCCCGAACACTCGCCTCAGTAACGGTTTGAGGGAAAGAGAGAAAGATGATTGAATCTCCATGTTGCCCACCGTTAGGGTGCCCTAAACTTGTGTTTTGATTTACAGGAGGTATAGCCAAAAAGAGAAGTTTTGACTTGTTTATCTAAGGTCTTTTTGCACTACGAAGCCAATCTTGCCAAGTCTTTCATACAGAGGTTCTCATTGAACGAAGTCTTTCTACTAGAAATTTTCCGCTATGCGGAATAGCAAAATAGATAGAGGAAATAGTCGATCAAGTCTCGAAAACCGTTCTCAACATCATCCAAGAAAGAAGAGCGCACTATGGTGCTTAATTTGTCCATGTGGGAAAGCAAGTACTCCTAATCGGTTGTTGCAAGCTGCTGTCCAAGGAAGGGCGGCTAATAAGCAAGTTAACTCAGGTAGGGAGAGAGTCTATTGAGCGTAAGGTTTGGCTTCGATAAAGTAAGATCCTGACGATCCGGCATTCATAAGGGCAGAATGTGGGTAAGTAAGAAATCTCGGTATCTCTATCGAAAAAATCTACTTCAAGCATTGCCTTAAAAGCTTCAATCTCTTCCTCTGAAACGAAACTAGAGTTCGAGTACCTACTGCTTCAACCTCAACCCTAGGTGCAAGTGACGATTCCCCTTTCTCACGATGTTGCGCACCTTGTTTTTAAGGCGATTCCCTTCACAGGCACCCGGCTTGAATGTGCTAAGCACGGGGTAGAATGCGTTAAGCATAAAATACCCGATCGACATTTCCAGAAAGAAGGGCTCCCAGAGGGTAAGTTCCAATGGGGTTCCAAGATCTCCTTACCAGCTATAAACCAGAGATTTTCACTCCCTTTCACAGTTTTGATTAAAGGGCTTGGGACCGTAGTAATGCAGTCTTTGATAAGAGCTATATTCTCTTGCCCCAGGGGAACCGCTAAGGTAAGAATCAAGAACTCATTCTAATCGTGAGATTCTTCTAGCTGAGATCTCAATCTTTCTCTACTGAAGATCTAGCCTTCTTTTGTTCACCGACACCGAACTAGCTTTCTCTGATGCTAAAGCTTCCTTTCAAAAAAGTGCACAGTCGCCTCCTTTGCGG